GAGGGGGTGAGGAAACAAACTTCCAGGTGTTTCCACAACAACCCTACAAGCAGCAGTGTAATTTTCCATTATAATGACCTACGTGACTTATTGAACCACTATAATGCAGCCAGTAAAATGACTATTAGCTTGAACAGAAGTTTTGAAAAATAGTTCACTTACCCAAAGAAAAAGTGAGATCCGACTCCAGTTCATTTAATTTTTTCAGAAGTTCTGTATTGATTTTTTCTAGTTCTTTTTCTTGTTTGTCATCACTCTTCCCATCACTGTTGTAGTTGTATCTTCAAACCAAGCCAAGACAGCAATTTCACTTTACAGTACATACAAAAATTATATACACATTAAGCATGTTTCTACAAATTTTTGTATTTTATGAACCAAAAACCTCAGAACATTACAGCTTAGCTCAACAAGTTCACTGGCATTTGTAATCAGGTATTTTGGGGTGGGGTAAGCTTGCTGCTGCATATCTAACTGAACACAACAGATTTCTAGGTAATGTATTGATTACACTTCAGTTGTTCTGACTATACTGAAACCTTCTGAGAAGATTGTACAGAGGATCGGAATAGACACCTGAAGGATTTTTTAAATTGGTATTCAGTATATAAGTGGATCCCATTATAGCTAAAAACACCAGGTACACGTGACTAGCCACAGTAGGATGCACTGGCATATTACACCTCCACCTAGCAGATCACACGCTGCTGCTGCTGCTATTAGAGCTGCTGCCCTGAATTGCTAAAACAGCTCTTCAACTTTTCCTTAAAAATAAAATAATCAAACCAAACATTAAAAAGGTAATGTTAAAAAAAGCACTCAAAAGGTTCAACTGGGTGTAAAGTCAGATAATAATCAGCAAACAATACATCCAAATCACCACTGACAAGACTGCATACTCCTTTCTGTTAATGCACAGTCTATCCAAATACATAACGAAGAAAATACTGAAAAATTTACCTTACAACACCTAAGCCTGGCCAGCTAAGATCTTCAATATACAACAGCCCTACTGTTCTTCTCACTTCTTGCTCAAATTCTTCTCTCAGTTGTAGTGTACTTGTCAATACTGGTATCTTCATTTTTAAGCAGTCTACTAACTGATCAACATCTTGTATTTCAGTTCCTAAAACTGAAGAGCTGATGTGTTATTGTATGATAAAAGAGAATAAGCATCACATAGATGTCTGAATTAAGTAATCTGGAAACAAGCCACTCTAAGCCAATCATAAATACAATTTACAGATAGTACTGAAATAACTTGATCTATATAAAAGTGTTTTTAATTCAGTTATCTATCTACTGATACATCAAAATGGAGATAACTAAAGATTTCATAAAGAATAAGCTAATAAAAAGGAATTTCTGATGTTACAAACTAAGAAGGACAATAACCTTAATTACATCAGAAAGATTCCTCTTCCCCTAGGCAAACAGACCATGAATAAGCTTCTGTGCTGGTTTAAAAGAGAACAAACAAAACATCACAGGATCACCATGTAATTTTACTCTAAAATCTGCCTTTCTGTGTACACCAGGATCCTCTGATGTCAGCATCAGGTGTTGTGATAGCCTAAGCCACTCACCACACAAGCTACAAGGAGATACTGCACATCACCCTGAGCCTCTGCAAGTTGCACTGTGCATCTGCCAAGTCTAAACAAAGTATGTAACGGTGCTGCTGGCTTAAATGTGAAATTTGAGACACTTTCCAAAACAGACTTTTTTTTCTTCCCACTCCTACATCAGTAATTATAGAAAAACCTAGAGGTTTAATGAAGAATTCTTCCAGTTAGGTAGTTCTACTTTGAACACACATCATTTCAGTGTTGAAGCACTGGTGCAGAAAGGTCAAGCACTTTGTTTTAAGCAGCTGAGGAAAGGGAAGGTAGGGATGATTTATCTGTCACATGTCTCTAACTGTTAGAAACAAAGAGCTTCTCCCCTTGATCTTCCTAATTAATTCAATAAATAACCAGTAAAAGTCCCTCTTGGGAGAGGTACTCAGGCAATGTCACCCACAGCAGCTGAGCTACCACTAACGCACACATTGTCAAGGCACGGCAGACGGATAAAGCCAAGATAGTTTAAGTTCTGTTTATAAGAAAATCCTTACAGAAGACAGGCTAAGCAGTTTCTTGAGAGCATCTACTTTTACACGAGGAGATAGCTGGACAACTCTATAGCAAATCCTAGTTTTTATAAGGGGCTGAATTAAGTGAATGTTACCTGCAGAAGTCATTAGTGGGCTAAAACGCACACATGTGCCTTCATCTTCCAGTTCCACCACATCAACTCCACTGGCAGGAACCAGCTGTGCCAGCTGCTCTCCAAGCTGCAGGGATGAGGCAAAGATAGAAACGCACTGAGCATGACCTCCTGTAGGCACTGACTCTTCCCACACTTAAGGAGAGCCACACACTAAACACAGATTTCTATACTTCTCAAAATCACTTCTTGTAACAAAATACTTTAGCTTGCTGGTGATAGAGCAAAGTTGGTTTTGTACTTAAAATCCTGAAAATCCAGGATAACCTAGAAGCATTACCAGGCAGAAGCTACTGCAAAATCATTGCTCTCATTAAGTATGTCTTGATTACTACACAACTGATCCAAAACAGTTACATGCTCAGCTCTCTGAAAGAGGTTTATAGATCTCTTTTAAGATCTGGAAAAGAAAGACTGTCTACTAATGAATTCACAGACATTGTCAATGAAGTACCTGGATGCTTAAAGAGTTCTGAAGTTTCACATATTCCCATAAAACCAAGGGGAAAAAACCCCACGACCAACAGCTGAAGATGCAGTAACTGTTTCAGTAGTAATAACATGTAAAATAATCAGAAATCTGAAAGCAACCTTGCTTCAGAACAAATGCATGTTTTAAATCCAAAATGCCCACTAGTTTTGCAAATGATATCAGACTAACAATAACTAGCAAACTAGTCTACCAAAAGTTTCATAGTCACTGATGAACCCCTGGAAGCATTCCCTGTCACATCTTCAGGAAAAAAAGCATCTGTTCTTACCCACTGATTGAAAGTGTCATAAATGTGTCTTTCGTTGCTTATTATGGGGTTTGGAGCAGTTGAGGCCTGTCCAGCAGGTGAGGTTTGATCTGAATCCAAAGATATAAGAATCACAGAAGTGAATTTTTATTTACTTAATTAAACAAAAGGCAACCTAAAATTTAGATAAAAGACAATTACATTTCCTAGTTAGTGGAATACATCTACATGACATACTAGGCCTCAAGTAGACTAACAAGGCCTGTGGTTTTTTTGTTTGCTTTTGTTTGTTTGTTTGGTTGGTTTTTAAATAAGGTAAGTTGAACATGACAAATACTGGAAGTAAAACAGAGCGTTGAATGTATTAGTTTTAAAAACAACCAGTAACATTCTCTCAGTTTTGAGGTTCAAATATCCCTATGGAAAAAAAAATGTTTTCACAAATCAAAATTCTGTCACAGTAGGCTGCTATATTTAATGTGATGCACTAAGCTGCTTTTTATTAAACTTTTAATTATTCTTTTCTGTTTTAAACCACACAAAAATTATACTAAAGATTTAAGAATCCATCATACACATGATACATGCAGAAATGGCCAAACATCTTATATGCTTATAATTCAGGTGAGTGACTTCTTCCTAGTAAAGCTTTTCAAATGCAACAATATGCAAAGTAATCCATCAAGTCTCTGGATCTGGACGGTTTGTGTGTGCAGCCACTGACAGATTAAAAACAAACCCAAGACTCCCCCATGCCCAGCAAAAAAAAAAAAAAATCCAGACAATTAAAATAACTCATACAAAACTACAACGTTTTCTAGCAGTTTTTCACCTCATCCAAGCTGGACATGTCCCCATCCTCAAGGTGTGCACATACAAACAGCACAACATCCTCTGTTGTAGCTGAGAGGACAAAAGTCCTCTTTCTTGGAGAGCACGTCTATGTCAGGATGTTCTGCTCAGAGCCACATATGGTATGGCTAGTCCATGACAGCATTTCCAGAGCTGTTCCAAAGGTGTTCTGCTACTTTTAAAACTATTCCAACCGCTCAACTAATCAGTAAAACAGAGAGACATGGTTCTTGCAACCAGCCACTACAAGTCTAAAATTAACAGAAAACCTGAACAAACCCCAGGAAGATCTTGCCCCATCTGCAGTCAAACACAGCTTGCAGCTTATGACAGACTTCCATCATTTGCTCTCCAGATCAAAACCATATGTAAATCTCTCCTCACTCAAGGAGGTAGAAGGTGACTTGTTATCACAGAATCACAGAATGTTAGGGGTTGGAAGGGACCTCCAGAGAACATCGAGTCCAACCCCCCTGCCAGAGCAGGACCATCTAGTCCAGGGCAGGTCACACAGGAACAAATCCAGACGGGTCTTATAAGTCTCCAAGGAAGGAGACTCCACAACCTCCCTGGGGATATGAACATTTCAAACACAGCTTCTTTTTCTAGATAGAATCCATACAGTCTATCAGTTTGCAGTCTATCACTAGATTATGGCCGGCATTCACCTTTTTAAAAGCACATTACACAAGAGAATTGCACTACATGACATCTACCTTATCAAAATCATTTTACAAATTAGCAGCGAAAAAAAAAGAATTCTCTATAGAGTGGTTTTTATAAATAAATCACATACCTCTATTTGAATACTCCTGAAAGAACTTGAAAACCACCACTGGTGAACTCAGTTCATCCTCAACCTTAAAAAAAAAAAAAACCAACTATATATATAGAGTCACACTTTTTAAAAGATTTAACACTATGTAATTCCTTAGAATGCTTAGGCAAAGCAGATGATTTTGACAGCAGTAACAATGTTCACACTATCTTAGTATTAGAAATTAACTCTAGGAGTGTAAGTCAATGTATCTGTGAACACAGGAAAGTAAATCATTATTCAGTTAAAGCAGAATTGTATTGGTGTAAGTTATAAGTTGTGTACAGTCTCACAGGGTTCACAATATCATCTCAACAGCAGGGTAAGATGCAGCCAGAACGTATTAGAGAGGCTTATGGAAACTGGTTTCATAAATGTCTTCCTGAAGAAATCCACATTTTAAATGGAATTAAGTCAACCTCTGGAAATAATTTCTGGATATTGTCCTGTCAGCTCCACTGAGTGCATAAGTATACAGCAGTGGAGCAAATACAATCCAGAGGTTACACACAACCAAGACAAAATTTCATTGAACACCAGAAATTAATTAGAAAGATACCAAGCATCTTCAGAACAAGGCTGTGACTGAAGTAATAATTTTAAATACTTTATTGACAATCAAAGTTATTCTTGTCATTTAACAAGTAAAGACTAAGATATACAACCAAAGTATTATATGTCGACTGTACCGAAGTTTTAATGAAATCCAGGTTTTTCAAGTTCTCCAACAACCTTTGGCTCTGGAAGACCACAGCAGAAGGGAAACAAAAGGAAGAGACAAATTCACAGTTTTCATTTTCAGAATAATTTTCAACTTCTATTAAATAGTGACTACCATAATTTCTATTTCTGAACAAACCCTACAGCACTCAGATATTCACCAAGTTCTTATTTGTAAATTTAGAATGTAATGGAAAAATGGTTTTATGTTTTCAGTAAAACACTGACTACAAAGTGATTTTTATTTTAAAAAGTCTTAGTGTATTTGTTGACAAAGCTCCAGAGATATTACAACTCCATTGACTGACTAAAGCACTATGTGTAGCAGAACAGTTAATTTTCTCAATGCTACCATAGCAACTGGTTATGATAGCTTTCTAAATTATTTTAATTAGAACAGACATTCTTACATTGTGGTTTAAGACTATCAATAGACTGTTATAAAAGCTAAGATCAGTCTTAGATGCCACAAAATCTTAATGACTAATGATACTTTGTCAACCTTATTGGTTTTCATGCCAATAGCTTCTTTGCTAACCATTACAGAAACTTTCTATTTTATTTTACCCTTGAATATTTTTGTAAGTGCTGTACCTGTAATGAAAAATGTTTTGCATATAAACCATGCATTTTTTAACTAACACATTATATTGGACCTTGATTTTTACTAGGGTAAGGACTCAACTTCAAAAATAGTGCACTCGCCACCGTGAAATGCTTTGAAGTCCTTTTTGTCAGGCATTTACAATATGCTGTCAGGTAAATCAATATGAAGGTGAGTAGGAAAATAAGTCTGTGAACAGCTTTCAAGCAAAACAGAAGTGACAAAAAAAGGAAGTGATTACGTTACTTCACTGTTTAGAAAGAACAAAGATGAAGTATTTCTCATTTAAAAAACTAATAAAATACACAATCTGATAGTAAAGACATATCCCTCCCCCAAACACTTCATTTTAATAATCTGTAACACAATATGAACAAGTATGCTATACTGTCAACAACTATGGCATGTTTAGTAGATTCTTCTACAATGCATCCAAATAAAGAGATGCCTTAACAGCTATTATGAAAACATTCCTAAGCATAACCCCATTCTGTGATAGCCATCTAGGTATCTCCTGTGCCATCCTTGCTACTTGAACTTCTGTTTCTGCTTGGAGACTCAAACTCTTAAACCAGCCTGTAGAGATTCTGTAGTCTCCACCCCTAGTCAAAGAAGCAAAGTATCCATAACAATGTCCCAACGAGCTGTTGCTTACTAGTTGTGATGCATGTTTTATCCTCTCCACAATCCCATCATGGCCCAGGTACTGCAAGGAGAGCCAAAGTGGCAGAGCACGAAGCTTCTCTACAGGCTGACTTGATGTCAGCCCAGCTGCTAAGGACTAAAGAGGAAAACAAACAATAAACAAACCACTATTAAACTCTCTTCCATTATTTTTGCCAGCCTATGGAACATGTCACAGCTTAAATGAGCTTTTGCAAATTATAATTTAGATGCTTATAGAGAATGAGACACTACAGCATGACCAAAATTAAAGTTTCAGGATCTTGAGAATAACGACTGAGAAGCTGCACATACCAAAGACGGGTCCTCGTGTCTGTAGAGTGTGACTGCAGGTACAGCTGGGAGACCCAGCCAGGAACCCAGAGTAAGAGTCATGCTGTCACATTTGGTAGCCGCCTGAGGTTTATTAGAACAAGCAGAATATAAGCCATATATATTTTGGTTAGATCAAGACCTTGAAATCTAGAGCACATCATTAAGTTTCTAGATACAGTAATACATACCAGTACAGAAGAGGAGACATAGCCCAAAGCCAAAGTTGCCAAATTCACACTAGAAGAAGAAAGTGGGTTTAGCACATACTAAGTATGTATTGAGACAGCATTTTAATCTTCAGTTCAAGTATTTCATGCTGATGTGTCAAGGGAGGTTATTTTTGTTAATGTATTTTTCATTAACACTGCAGTAGATGTTGCTACCTAGTATTCCAAGATTGAAAACCCAAAAGTAAAAATCCATTTCAATCTAAAAATGTTTCACTTCAACCTTCAGGGAAATCATCCCCCGAAGTCCTACCCATAATTCACCATCAGTTTGGTATCAGACATAAATAGCATGCAAATATAATACTATACAATGAAATACCAGGAGAAACAGTTTTTTACTCTAGGCTTCAAAACAAACAAACCAACACCAAATAATCTTAGAGTGCTGGAGTCTTCACTAATATTGTCCAACTTGGAAATTCTTTTCTCTTGGCTTAATCCTCCTCCCAGTTACGTTGCACACTGAACTTGCAGCCACCTTCTTGACAGCCTTCACTGAAATGTTATCTCCTCCACACTCATTTCATTCTCATTTCTCATTCTCAGTTATGACTGCATAATGTAGCCCCTGACTTGTCCTGTAAGGTCTTTTTTATTTGTATTCCAAGCTCTTTAAAGCAAGGGCTGGTAAGATTACCATGTGAGTAGAAGTAATCACTAACCTGTGATAAACAACCATTCCAATTAATCATGCCTGTATGTGTAAATAACTATATAAAATGCTCAATATTACAAATATAAAGATAGTTCTATGGCTCACTACTACCTGGATAGATGCAAAATTATGTACTGTCTATTATTTGGACTTTTTATACAGAAATAAATTTCAGGCTTCCTACCCTTCTACATGGAGCCACATATTATACTGCTCACAAAGTTCCTTCAGTCGTCCGAGTTTATCTGTGTGCCCAGCACCTGGTGTCCCTTTGTTGAAAAGGAAAAAAGGCAATGACAAAGGACAAGCATGCAAAGCAGGACTCTACAGAAAAGGGCCTCCTGTACTGCTGTCAAAAGTCACACAAGAGAAGGAAATAGTATTTTTAAAAAGAGCTCACTACACCATATTTGTATCTGGTTCATTGTGACTTATGAGCAGTTGGAATTGTAGACAAAAAAAATTGATTTGCTCGTCAGTATGCAGTAAAAATGCTTAGAAAATTAGACACCCCAGGCTCTAAAGGACTCACCAGCCTCAGATATGAAATTCAGACATTATTAATTATGTTCGAAGTATGACATCAACTAAAGGAAACTAAACAAAGATTAACATCTCAGATATTTTTCAATTATCTGTTATAATAATTTTAGTTACCTCCTTCATTCACACTTAAAACAAATTTTGCTCATGAGCAGTTCTTGTTAATTAACAAGAAGAAAAATACAATTTTTAAAGCTAAAGTTGATTGTACATCCGTCAAAAAAATCTGAAGCGTTAACGTGAAACAGATTTTCAACAAGAGATTTGTACTCATTAAAATAAGTTCTAGTCATGTTAATACATTAACTGACATAAGCAGACCTGTAGCAGTACAATACACCTCTAAATCAGTTAAAAAAATGAAACCCCCCCTCATCAGATAATTGTGCGGTCATTAAGGTATCTCCTGATATTTTTTTGACATACAAGCACTAAGCTGTTTAAGAAGATTTATGTTTATTTCGGACTTCTGTACTGGTTGGGGGGGGGATCGTGGGGGGATGGTCAAAGAGG